AAAATAAGAAAATAAAACTGGCTATTATTAATACTAATGATGAATTTACTTATTTCTATTAATTTAAATAAATGTTAAAGGAAATGAAAATTATGAACAAGAAGTTAGATTTATAAGAAAACAAAGAAAATACAGTTAACTTTAATTATAAAATTGTTATAGGACTAAACATTAACTTACAACTATGCAATATACCAATAACAAACATTTGAAAATAAAAATAGATAGAAAAAAAACTTATATGTACATATTTACAATATCCCACTGGTTGAACACCAATTGGCACGTTGGGTTATCTGAAGAAGCGGAAACTTATTCGAACTAGCGACGTCAATGTCCCTCCAATTTATCTCCTCAAGTTGTGAAAATGTTCATTCACCAACATGTAAGATCAAGCGGCGCTCGTCGCTGATAATCACAGGTCCATGAATAGTAAAGAAAATCCGGTGTAAACCGTAAAACTAAAGCATTTTACATACAAAATCCTTAGCGTGCCTCAACACTCGCGAGGTTCCGCCATCTCTCTCTCAACTCTCTTTTATTTTTCCTCCCATTCAGCTGTTGGCTGTAACACTGACTTAAAAATAATATTTACAACTAGTACTTAAAACTAAGATTTATTATAAACAATTAATTATTATTAAAACTAATACTAAATACTTCATTTTATATTTAACCCTCTTCGAGTTAATAAAAAAAAACTTATTATTATTTATAAAAACTAAAAATTATTTTACGAACTAATTTTTTTTGTATTTCGTTTTTCGTTACACTCTCTGCACACGAATATTAAACTAATTATGGATTCTGCAAATATTGTAGTTTTAATATTTAATAATTTTAGACCCTGCTTTTTTCGGCTTTGGTAATTATTAAATTTTAAATATTTAAATTTCAAAATTTATGGAGATGAGAAGCACCGTTTTTAATCATTTAAAGAATGAAAATACAATACGGATGGATCCAAAACATTCTAAAATAAATTTATGTAAGTTTTTGATTAACTTACACAATATCAAAATGCTTCACAATATTTTAAGCAAGAATTTCATCGAAATTTGGGTTAATTCTCAAAATTAGGTACAGACCAGTTATAATTTTTATGGAACAAATAAGAAAATTGGTTAGCAGGACACATATAAACTGTTGATTAACACATTTAAACAGTAGATTTGTATGATTTTATGTTAAGGCTGAGCTCTGAATGAATTTTCATGGTTTGGTCGCCTTAAAGCGGCACGATGTTAAATAGATTCTGGAGCTATTTTTCCTTCCAAAATAAACATAAATTGTGGAAATCTAATTTACAACCTGAAGGTGGAAAAAATAAAAATGATATTTCCGCAAACTTCATATTAAATTAAATTATTAATAATTTATACTTTTAAATATTAGAAGTGGCGTGGACAAATTTTTGAGTTTTACTTGTTTATACTTGTTTAGCAAAATAAGAAGAACTAATCAAAGTCAATTTTAAAATAAAAGTCAACAGAAAAATGGCATCAGTGAAATATTGATTAAATGATTTATTTTATTTATAATAATCAGCTATTTCGTAAACATTTGGTGATTTTGATACAGATGCCGCTAGGTTGTTAAATCAGCCCAATGCGCAGGGGTGTAAAAAACGGCCCCTGCGCCTGTAGCCTCAATCAACAGGTTGAAGCTAATTTCTTCACGACATTATGCCTGTTATGGAACTCTCGTGACTGATCGGTGAAATATCAGCGTTTGAATTTCATTCTTTATAAAGGTTTTATAATTGTATAAAACACACATAAAACCATTGACCAATTTGAATAACATTCAGTTTCATTTATTATTGAAATTGTATTAAACATCTTCTGAAACCAGTGGCGGAAACACAGGAGAGAAAAAAAAGGGGAAATTACCCATCCTAAAATTGCCATTGAAAAAAAAAAAAAAAAAGCGGATGCTAAAAAACATCTCTACCACTTATCAATGCTCATGGTGAGTATATTACCATTTATTAGGTTGAGAAAAAATAGAAAATTGACGATTGATGTAAATTCACCAATTTACATTTCAGCGTTTAGGTGTATGTATCCAGTTAATAAAGTTATACTAAAGTTGTATCTATTCATTAAGTTCCAATCACTTAATGTAAGTAGTTTTTCATAATAACCTCCGTGATCCGAACCAACTACCCATGAGTAATTTATTCGGATTAATGAAGTTGTACTGTGTTATCAAATATACATTTAAGTAAGGAGAGGTAAATATCTACATAAAACATACATTGACACTCCTATTTCTAATGCTATACTTCAACAACTAATGAGCGATTAGAATACAAATATAATAAATTAACATCTCATAGATATTTTTCAAATAATAAATGATTGGCTGAATATTAGGGACCATATGATAAATTAGGGAATTTATTTTGTAGAAGGAAGGAGGGTGTAATGTCCATCCCCAACGCTTCCCCCTCCCACCAAGGGCGATGGTACAGGATCCCATATCCCAAAGAATCACACTGCTCTCTTCTTTTCTTAAAAACAGTGTTTAAGAACGAATAATAATAAAAATTTCATTCTTTTTTTCTTTACTGAGAAGTTGTCTAATATTCTTAGTTATTTGGCAATAATTACTTCCAATTAGCAACAATTGAATATATTTCTTGTATTATCAACGTTACATGTTAACAAGTTTACGTTTCGGGATATTTACTTCCATCTTCACAACTACAATCCCAATGATCTTGTGAATGCAAGGCTAAAAATATTTGTTTTTGAGTTAAAATATAGTTAACATGTTACATTACATGTTAGAATTTTGTTGTTACAATAAATTTGCAATTACATTAAAAATAATAATAACAATGTGCTCCATCGTTAAATTTCTAGTTCATGTTATAAAATATACCATCTAGAGCAACATCTTGCTTTAGACCTATAATTGGGTGTCTGCCATAGTGAAATACAATTTACCTTTGGATCTGACTATTTTTATATTATTGTTGTTAATGTTTATTTTATGTATCTGCAATTTCATTTCTATTAAATTTTAATTTTGTTTAATATGTCCGTATAATGAGTTCCTAAATGTTCAGTGTCTGTTTTATAATTGACTGTTGTTCTATTGTTTTTTTTGTGATGTGTATTGCTTCAAGTAATTTCCTATTGGTGTTTTTTGGTTCTGTGCCTATTATCTGTGGTTTATTGAAGTTAAATTTATGCTGTAATCTTATACTATGATGTGCTAAAGCTTTTGTGTTTATGCTTTTTGTATTTTTACAGTTGGTAATATGTTGTGAAATTCTGGTCCCTAATTGCTTGGATGTTTCACTAATGTAGGTTTTGGGGCAGTTTTGACAATTTAATTTATATATTACATTTTTCTTGTTTATTGGGTCTATTTTATCCTTTGTATTGGTGATGTGCCTGCTCAGTTTCTTATTATTATATTGTCCGAGTTAATTTCTATTAAGTCATAATTTTTGAACACGTCTTTAATTGTGTTAGTAAGTTCGGGTATGTATGTCGTTTTGTAGTAGTAGTTAAAGTCCATTTTGTTTGTTTATGTTATGTTGTCCTGATTGTTCTCGTTTGTTGGATTTGTTTTTTCAAAAAATTGGGTGATGAATTGTTGTGTAGATTTCTTTATTGTAATGTTTAATTGTAAAATTTTAGTTTATTTACCTCATAGTCTTTGAGAGAAAAATTCTTCAAAGAATTTTTGAAGGTGTAAATATCGATAGAAACTGGAGAAGACGGACGAACAATGAAATTTACACAATTTTTAATGCAGATGTAGTTCTGACAATAACGCTTGAAAGACTGTGGTGGGCTATCCACGTGATTGGAATGGGGGACGAGGCAATCTCAGATGGTTCAGAGTGAACCTCTCCTACAGCACTAGAAGAAGGGGAAGATCAAAACTGAGATGGTCGGGTCGTGTGGTGGAAGATGCAAGAGATATCCTAAGAGTCAGGATCTGGATGGCGGCTGCGCTGCGCAGAGATGACTGGGGGAAGAGGTCAATGTTAATAATGGTTAGGGTTTCTTTATGAAACAAACACAGACAATAAAGAAACGTTTATTGTGGAAGAAGACTACAAACACAGAAACCATATCGAGGGAGTTTACATTGTTGTGATCACTGACGTCACATCTGACAGTGTTGCCAGTAACAGTGTTGTGGGTAGAATATACAATAACAAATAACATCAATTAAATTAATCCTAACAATCAAGACTCGTCACCTATTTGTAGCGCCGGGATATGCTAAAGAAGTTTATTTACAACTACACTTGCTGTGGTCTGTTCCATGTTTTTATATGATTTGAAAGTTTCTCCAAATTTAAATCTCACAAACATATGGTTCCCCCCGACAACCCATAACCCCCCTCCTCCGTAAAAATGTGTCCTACTGAAAAAGTTTGATGCAGCAAGGTGAGCCTTGCCAGTCGATAATCCTGGGCTATGAAGTGTTTATTAATTATTTTATGCTGTTGACCTTCAAACTATTTCAAGGTTTCTTGCACGCCTTCAAGAGCCCACTAGAAGTTTTATAACCATTTATAGCATGGTACTTCTCCACTACGTAACAGCGAACATATTTTGGCAAACCATGATGGCACTAGTAACTGACGTAGCTGTCCAAAATATTTCACAGCTCACTAGGTATTCTTTGATGATTCTCCAAATCGCAAAATGATCGGCATACGCCCAATGCTTTTACGTTACGATGTCTTATTCCAATAGTAATATTTTGAAGATACATTTCTTAAAGTCTACTGAGAATAGAGTACTGGAAATATTAGAGGATTAAACAGTCAGAAGACAGCCTCAAATACAGTAAAATCGGATAACATAATCTTGCCATTCTGAGGGGTTTTATACTTCCTTGGGCCTTGAGGTATTTCAGTGGTATAGAATTAGTTATGGCCGCAGTTATTTTTAGGTATACGGTTGGGATCTGAGATTGAGATTTTAAGTAGTTTAATATAATGAGCGTTTTAAAATTGTTTCTAGATGACACAATCCTATGGGTTCACTTTTCCACCGCTGTCAGCAGCCATCAACGTTGCACTGGCCACCGTTAGGTCTGCTATGCCGGATGCCGGTCAATGTGCTGACTTGTTCCGCAAATTCCGCGGTCAAGAGGAAGCTCCATTAAAACCAAGGGACACAGAATTGGATGACTATGGAACTGAAGGTATGAAATTATGGTGAGATAAGTTAATGGTTGGCATAATGAGATATAAATTTATATAACTATAGGTCAGAGATCGCGGGAAGATTCATGGGGAGAGGTTGGCATTGAAGGTTCCAAACACAAGATCAATGAATGGCAGGCAGCTTGGAACGTTACTAATGCCATCCAGGTAAGTGACATGACAATGACTTACAAATAAGAAAAACAATTTAATTTAGAAAAAGATTTTTCTTAATATATTGGTGACGTTTCAGGGAATGTTCATCGTATCACTTCCGTTTGCAGTACTGCGTGGTGGTTATTGGGCTATCGCTGCTATGATTGGCATTGCTCACATTTGCTGCTATACAGGTATAATTTATTGGTATAGTAATAAAATATAATCTTTATTGTAGAAGTTTCAGAGAGAATTATCGTCAGTAGAAAAGGAAGAGAAGTAAAAATTCAATTATTGGGACCTATAATGCAACTATTTGGAAATTATAATTTTTTGAGTAATGATGAGCAGGGCTTCGATTTACGGCTCTTTGAGAAAATAACTTTCAACTGCTCCCTTCTTTTTCAGTTCCATCCAATAAATGATAATGATAAGGAATTGTAAGGAGGAATTGAAATAAGAGGGTTTTAAATGTGGATAAGGATGATACATGGCGGATTTTAAGTGGGATGGAATTCCAAAATGTGGTGGATCGGACAATAAAGGAGTGTTGAAATGAGGCCGATTTGTGAAAAGGGGTATAAAGGTCGCGGAAGGACGAGATCTTGTGGAGAGGGAGTGGATAGATGACTTGAATTGAAGGAGATTGAATGCGTAGGACGGACGATGATTATAGATTATTTGGTAAAGGAATGTACCTAGGAAGTACTGTCTTCTGAAGGAGGGAAAGAGCCACCCTAACTCGGCGTAGTAGTGGGAAACATGAGAACGTCTCGGGGTCCCATTGACAAATCGTACTAAGCCATTCATTATTCTTTTCAGTCTGTCTCCAAGTTGCGATGAGAGGCCACCGCACACTATGCAGCCGTAGTCAATGTAGGGGAACATGAGGGCGGATACTGGGAGTCTACGTGTGGATATGGGTAGGAGATGGCGGAAGCGATGGAAGAGTTTCAGGATAGAAATTGAATGTCGGGATATGAGGGAAATATGGTGATTCCAGGAGAGGGTTTGATCTATAATAACACCTACGTTTTAACTGAAGTGTTGAAGGTGATGGGTTGGCCATTCAGGTACAGGAGAGGAATGTTGGTATTGGATCTGAGAAGGGATTTGGAACCAATGACAATGGCTTGGGTTTTAGCAGCGTTTAACCTTAATCCATTTTCACTTGCCCAGGCACAAATCCGATTTAGGTCTTCTTGTATTTCGGCAAATGCATCATGCCATTCAGAGGGAGCAAAGGAGAGGTAAATTTGGGAATCATCGGCATAAAGGTGATGTCAACAGTGAAGGATTGATTTATGAAGATCGTTAATATATGAACTAAAAAGGAGAGGAGATATGCTGGAGCCCTGTGCCACTCCTGAGGACAGAGTTAGATAGGATGATAAAGGTTGGTTGGGAATAGAGACTGCTTGGGTACGTTGAGAGAGGAATGATTGAAACCAAAGGATAGAGCTGTTGGAAAAGGATAACGATTTCAATTTGGAGAAAAGGATGGAATGGTTAATGGTATCAAAGGCTTTGGAAAAGTCTAGGAGGATAAGGACAGTTAGTTTTTTGTCATCTATGGCCGACTGAACATCACTAACGATTTTGATTAGGGCGGATTGTGTGGAGTAGCCTGCTCGAAAACCAGACTAACAAGTTGATTGGACTGTTCTAGGAAGTTGGAAACTTTGGATTGGACTATTCGTTCTAGAGGTTTTGCAAGGTTAGAAAGGATTGAGATTGGACGGTAATCTTCAGGGGAAGAAGGGTTAGGATTTTTAAGTAAAGGACGGACAATGGCTTTTTTTCCATGAGGAAGGGAATATTGCGTTCTGAAGGGAGAAATTGTAGATGCAAAGTAGAGCGGGAAGGATTTCAGGTAGGCATAATTTGATTAATTTGACGGGAATACCATCTGGACCAATGGAATTGGAATGAGATTTCATCACGGCGGATATGAGGTCTGTAGGAGAAATATCTGAAAAATAAAAGTTGTCGTCGTTAAATGATATTCCAGGAGTAAAGAAGGAAGAGGTTGATGGAGGAATGGAGGAGGAAGCTGATATAAAATATGAATTTAAATCATCAGGTTTGACTGGAAAGACTGCTGCGGAAGGTGATCTGGAAGAATCACAGAGGGAGAGTTTACGAAGGAGTTGCCATTTGGTTTTGGAATCAGGAGCTGATGAAAGGGCTTCGTGGAAATAGGAGGATTTGGCTCTTCGGATTTTGGTTTGTGTCAGGTTACGGAGCACCCTAAACGCTTGGTAGTCGTCAGCGAGCCTAGTACGTCTAAAGCGTCTGCGGGCAGCATCACGTCTCTTCTGAAGATCTTTAATTTGCTGACACAACCAGGGAGCCGGGGGGCGACGAAAGGTCGAGGTTTTAATGGGAGCATGGGCATCGAGGATATTAAGGAGGTTGGAAGTGAAAATGTTAACCATAGAGTCAATACAAGAACAGGAATATATTCCATACCAATCAAGCGTTTCCAGGTAGGGTAAGATTTTTTCACGAGTGAGGACATCAATTACGGAAAGTTATGGTTCTAGGTAGGATCGGAGGAGTATGGATATTATATGAAATTTGGATTAGGTCATGAGAGGATAAAAAGGAGACTGGTACTTGTGAGCAGGAAAGGAGGCTCTGAGCGGAGTCGATAATGTAATGGTCCAACCATGTATCGGACCTGGGGGTGTGATAAGTGGAAGAAAAAGGAACAATGAAAAGATGAAGAGAGAAAAAAAGGTTTTCGAGGTATCATTTATTGCTGGAGTCGGAAAGGAAATTAGTGTTTAGGTCTCCGGAGATGATTATTTTGGTATAAAGAGGAACAAAGTTGAAGAGGGATGATTCAAATGACGGATCAAAGGGAACAAGAGGAGGTCTATACACTACGACATAAAGGATAGGAGATGTATCAAAGGAAATTTCAGCGATTAGGAACTCTACATGTGGGTGACCGGATGGAGGAGAGCAGTGGAGTATTCGGGTCTTCAGGCATTCGTGAACATACAACGCTACACCTCCGCCCGTCCGGCTCGTCCGGTCGTGGCGGATTAGTGTGTAGTTAGGAAGGGAAACAGATGTGGAAGGGATGTAAGGCTTGAGCCAGGTTTCGGAGATTGCAATGATATGGTAAAAATTATGGGTAAAGTATTCAAGGAATTCATCATAGTGGACTGGGAGGGATTGGGAGTTGACGTGACAGGTATTAAGGATGCTAGACATGATTAGGCTTGAGGAAAATAAAATCAGAATTTGATGAGCAGACGCTGGACTGGATATGATACATTAGATGAAATAATGTAAAAATTGAAATATAAGAAAAAAACCCATTAAAAAGAAAAAGATATGTAAAAGAAATAATCAATAGAAATAAATTAATTAAAAAGTTGCAATAGAAACATAACATACAATCCTGATTTTCAATTTGAGTCCTGTAAACTATGCCAAATTTTTTTTCGGTGTTGAGAAGTAAACAGGGATCGAAGAGTCAACCGAAGACATCTAGGTCTTGACTCTGGTCGATAAAGACAACCTGATGACCGTCATCCTTTCGACACCGCAGTCGGCCGCCGGAGAACCATATATATTTTATTTTCCCCGCTGCTTTCTTCTGCCGAGCGAGCCAGTAAAGGTACCTGTTCGTCGGGGTCATTTCCTCGCTGAGATAGATACGGTAGCAGTCATTTTCCTGCCAACCAATTTCCCGCATCGAAAAGTCCCTTTTTACTTTTCGCTTCTGCACCAGGTCGTCTCTCACTGACTGCCTGACGAATTTCGCGATGATAGGCGGTGGTCGCGGGTCATCTTTTCTTGCTCTTCGGCGCTGCACGTTGTCTATATCTTCGACATTGAGTTTAATGCCCAGACCGGCCCCAATACTTGTAACCAGGGCTGCGGGGGTCTCACCTGCTCGAATCGGGATGCTCCGTATCTCGAGCGATCTACTAAGCAAGCCCTGTTCGGCTTTATTCAGCCTGACCTCCAGTTCACCGACTTTAGATTTGAGGGCTTTATTTTCTGAGATTATTTCTTCAAGCTTCTTAGATTGTCCCTCTAAGTGGTTTTCAATTTTAAATAGCCTAGTGTTTACTTCGAAGCTCAGATCTCCGTACTTGTCTAGCGCTACTTTTATATTTTTTAATTCCTGATTGAAAAAAATATCTAGCCGCTTTACTGCTGCCAAAATTTCTGATGGTGTAGGCTCAGTGTTGTGACTTTGATCTCTGTTTTCACCACCTGGTGGAATCTTTTTAGGCTGATCGCAACTAGCGCATATCCATCCTTTTTTTGAGGATTTTTGAGCCTCAAACTCTTTATCACTGAGTATACCGCACCTGCTGTGAAATAATAATTTACATTTAGCACAACATAAAATATTTTTCTCTTCTCAACTGATGGTGCTGCTGCATAGCGAGCATTGTGCCATATTGTTATTTAGTAAATAGATCGTACTTACAATGACAAGCCGGGTTGTTATGATGCGTAATAGCAACAGCGGGGCTTAATCCTCTAGAGCTCAATTGTTTACCACTGTCCCGTAGCTCGTAATAGTATAAAAACTTCGATACTTTCACTTTTCGATGAGTAGAGAGGAAATATGAAATGTCTATAATTTCTATTGATAAAAAATATTAAAAAGAAAAAAAAACCGGCAGAAATCAAAGAAATTTTAACGAAATAGGATACTTAATAATACAGAGGTATGTTGACTGGTTGCTGTCTCTGGCCAGACTATATATAAGGGTATATATAAAAATAAAAATATCCACAATGAAATTTAAATCAATATAGTGTTTATAATTATTACTTTCACTTCCCCTTTTTCTGAAAATACTTATTTCTGTGATGCGCGCACCGCACCATATTTTTTGGTTTAATCTAAATATCTCTTATTTAAAGTGACATAGATAAAAATTGTTAAATTCTATCTTAAACAGTTTTAAATTCTCTAACATTTTTGTACATTACATTGTTTTCTAAACCCAACAGGAAGCGAACTATCGAGCTTTCAGAACGGATAATGTTTAAAACAAAAATGACAATTAAATTATTGTATTAATATTTCTTCGTCAATACAATCAAATATTAATAAAATCATTATGGCACTATAACTATGCAATTCATGAGTACTTCATGAGGTGGCAAAGGACTCTAGACGCCAATGCCAGTGCCGCTTTTCGGTCGATTAAGTGTATTTTCTAAGTAACTACTTTAAATATTTTAAAAAGTAATCAGTGTTTTACCAATAAAAATGTATTCCTCAGATGTTTTATCTTAGGGCGTTTTTCGTTATTGTTGGCCGTTTATTTACAAAAGAAGCTTGATTTTCAACTATAGTTTGAATGACTTGAAAAATTTGACTTTACTGGTGTTTTTGTTTGCCAAGGCCAATTATTTTTCATTTTTTATTATTTTATAACCATCCAGCTTTAATAAAGGCCAATTATAGCGAAATTAAGCCAACTGCTGAAAATCAGTGACCGAAAAACTAACTCAAGTCAATGAAATCAATCTGCTATGTTTGAACGCCATTTTGGGACAATGTGGCCACTTTTTTGTGTGATAACATTGGCTTTTATTTTAATAAATAGTTACAAAGAGCACAAATATATGACATTTATTGGGATGTGGGAGGGAAGATGCGCGGTAGGAGGGTCTGGCCCACCATGTAACATACTTTTCAAAACACCTCCCGACTACCGTCTACCGTTAGTGTCAATGGCTCATTATCTTCAAGGAAAATCTCTAAAAATTCTCTGAACGAGGTTCAAAATGGAGTTACAGATTTCTTTTGTTCAAAACTGAAAGAGCACTATTGGGAAGAAATCGAAATGGGTAAATTTTGAAAGCTGGATAGTTCGCTTCCTGTTGGGTTTACAAAAAAATGTTAGATAATTTTAAGCTGTTTATGATTGAATATAACCATATTTTATCTATGTTGCTCTAAAAAGGAGATATTTAGTGTAAACAAAAAAAGTTCGAAATTTCAAGGTTTTTTGGAGCACTGTAGCGAGCCCACAGGGCTTTCAAGGGCGGAAACTTGTGTTTTTATATCCACTAGATACCTAATAATATAAAAGAGAAATTTTTTAATTTTTTTAAAGATTTGAAAAGAAATCCAGGATAGTTGAGGTAAAGGATCTTCCTTATTAAAGTAAAAATTTAGTTCAAGTAACTTGCTGGGTTAAGGTAGTGAAGGATAAATGATTGAATGATATCATTTATATTTTCAGAAGGTTATAAGGAAAATCTGACGTTGATTTTATCAGTCAAGAAGTGATTAAAATATGCATTTATCATTAAATATACACTGGTTTGTAAACATATTTGTTTAAAAAGTGCATGCAAAATATGGAATCGCATAAAAATCTGGGTTCTGATTATATCCTTAAGGTGCGTTTAGTTTAGACATTTCACGAACTATGGGACAAACAAATATATAAATGGTTATTTCACTATACTAGTATATTTATTTCTTGTTTTTGATATTTTCCATCTGCTGAAATAAAATAAAATAGTTTGGTTTAGAAATAATGTCGTTGTTAGTTAAGTTAGATAATTGTGTTTCCTACAGTTGGCGAAATGTCTAAACGCACCTTTAAATACAGTATTTATTTCCGTATAGCGAGGGAGATTGTAATAATTGCAAGTAATTAGGAAGCGGCTATATTTGATTTTTAATATACATCAGTTACATTGATTTTCGGAGGCTTGAACATAAAACATTTGTAAACTAATAGAAAATTATATAGTTCATAAAAAATATTTTGAGTCCAATTCGACCTATACTATAATAACGTATAATAATGATTTTATAATACATCCATAATTTACCAATCCAATTTTCTTTAATTTTCATCATCTTTTTCATTTTCAGGAAAAATCCTCGTAGAATGTCTTTACGAAGTGGACTCTTCTGGCGTCCGGGTTCGAACCAGAGATTCTTATGTTGCTGTCGCAAAAGATTGTTTCGGCAAGCGCTATGGCCCTATCCTCGTTAACTCTGCCCAACTGATAGAGCTCTTAATGACTTGCATACTTTATGTTGTTGTATGCGGAGACCTAATGGTAGGAACGTTCCCTGACTTCATTGATGCAAGAAGCTGGATGTTACTAACTGGAATTTTCCTTCTACCCCTATCATTCTTAAAATCTCTCCATCATGTCAGTACCTTAAGTTTCTGGTGCACTATGTCCCATCTGGTAATCAATGCAGTCATTTTTGCATTTTGTCTTCTCTATCTTCCTGATTGGGGTTGGTCAAAAGTTAAAATATCTTTAGACTTTGAGAACTTTCCAATAAGCCTCGGGGTCATAGTATTTTCCTACACTTCACAAATATTTCTCCCTACCCTTGAAGGTAACCTTATAGATAGATCAAAGTTTAATTGGATGTTGGACATGTCGCATATAGCAGCTGCAATATTCAAGTCTCTTTTTGGATTCGTGTGTTTTCTTACCTTTCAAAATGATACTCAGCAAGTTATAACTAACAACCTTCACCCTCAAGGTTTCAAAGGTCTTGTAAATGTTTTTCTTGTTTTAAAAGCACTTTTATCCTACCCTTTGCCATACTATGCGGCTTGTGAACTGTTAGAAAAATGGTTTTTTCATCCTCCTGAAACAACATTTCCAACTATATGGCATCTTGACGGAAACCTCAAAGTGTGGGGTCTAGCCTTTAGGCTTGCAGTGGTGATGCTAACTGTTTTAATGGCTGTAACCATACCCCACTTTGCCATTCTGATGGGCTTTATTGGATCATTTACTGGGACAATGCTTAGTTTTGTTTGGCCTTGCTATTTCTACCTCAAACTAAAAGGGGGGACTCTTGAAGCAACTACTGTGGCCTATAACTGTTTTATTATATTTTTAGGCTTCCTTTTTGCAACAATAGGAATATATGATAGTGGTTCAGCATTGATTAAAGCATTTCAAATTGGATTGTCCTTTTAAAATGGCTAAAAATCCTTTAATGTTATATTTTTATGGCACGTTACTAATAAACAGATATTATTTGTTCAGATTAAGCATTTGTTTAGAAAATGTCCACATATTTTTGCGATAATCATATTATTAATTCATTACATAAATTCATTTTAACTTCACTAGTAATTTATTAAATTAATTAAATGGCAACAGTAGCATATTCACTGCCTTTAAAACAAAACAAGTGTAAGGATAAATTATTATAATTATTTTTTTTTAAATGGCGTAAGAATTTACACAAAATCCTATTGCTATAGAATATGTGGAAATTGGCTAAACTAGATTTAAGGCTCAGGTAGACAACGCGATCCTTCTCATTATTTATTTCATTATCTTAGCCGCATAGAATGCGATTTACCGCAGCGAGCCATTCAAAGAGATCCTATTTGCCACGAAAGATGGGTTCTGTTTCTGAGCCTTGATGGTAAATAAAAACTAAATACCAAATTTTACTCTCACTTTCTCTCTCTCTCTCTCTCTCTCTCTATATATATATATATATATATATATATATATATATATATATATATATATATATATTTATATATATATGTACGAACTCATAGTAACTTGCAAGACACAACTACATTTTTATATGTACGAGAACAAATTATAAAAAAATGGATAAGCATCAACTGCACGAGATTGTGCCTTCAAATGACAGTCAAAAGTCTTCCATATATGTAATCAAATGGTAATCCCTAAATTGAAACTGAGTCTTCCACAATGAAATCAATGTCTTCCAAAAACTAATCTTAAGGGTAAATTAATAATAATTTATAATTAAAAAAATATTAGTCAGTAAGGTATTATATAAAAAAAGTCCTAAATAAGGAATGGCTAAAATTGATAAAAAAATTACTCCAAAAACATTGTTTATGAAGGCAACATATTCCTATGAAATGCTTATAATCTTATTTATCAAATGTAAACGTGTATTACTAAGTATATTTCATTACAATACATTTATGAGTATATATAAGTTTTTTGACATGTAATTAATTCTTTTTTTAAATTATACAGTTAAAGTATTATAGGTTAATAAATCTGATATTAAAAAAAGAACAAGTTATGAATTCAGCCATTTAATTGCCTAATATATAGAGCTCGTTAAAATAAAAAACTTTAATTTATTAAACTTAGTCTATAAATGATAAGAATCAATATATTACCAATTATATTTTCACTATGTAATATTTAATTATATATATATATATATATATATATATATATTTCTTTTTCTTCATCTATGATTACTTCCAACAAACACACATCAATAGGTTCAGCCAACGTAATATTTAAAAGTTAATTATTCCATAAAATACTTTAAAATAACTATAAAAGTACGTGGTTTTATCAATATTTTTGTCTAAAAACGCGTTTACACCAGATGTAAAAATTCTTAGTGAGATATACATAGGCAAATACATTTGATGATAAATGCTCTATCAACGTCTGGTGTAAAAGCGCTTCCTCAGTGTACGAAATATTTTAGCTACTCAAAAAAAATGTTGCCAACAAATGTTGCTCTTGAATTAGTCTAAATGCTGTCAATATTTGTTGGCAACTATGTTGCCAACTCCATTGTAAACGCGACTTAATTTATCCAATATTTATTTTCTCTTACACTGATGATTTTAAGTTCTTAGTGGTACTGCCATTTTAATCATTAAGTAAGTATTAAAGAATTCCATTGATTGGATTGTACTGTAGCCATTCTAAATCAATGAAATATATCATATTTTTGTTGGTTGATTTACATACCTGGTTTGTACAAGTGTTCAAAGGCTTATGTGATAACATTATCTGATTCTACTATGATGCCTTAATTTGATAAATGTTTAATCATCATAATAAAATTATATTATATGAATGAAATGTAATTGCTTTTAAATTTATTGTTTAAAAAAAATTAATATTTCGTTGGATGTAGAAACATAGCCTGGGGTTGCACAAGAATTTTTGATCCAGTGAATGATTAAAAGGAAAAAAAAGAAATCAAATTGAGATTTAATAAATAGTAACATTTTTATGTTACTCAGTTGTATTGCAGTACACATCATTATATTTTTGGCTAATTAAATCTTTCATGTTTAACAACCCAAAATTAGTGGAATCTTACCAATCCCTAAGTAATTATTTTATTTTATAAACGCTTAAAGTCGTATTAAAATTACTTTGAAAAATATTATTTGTTCCATACAATTTTACATGTTTTCGAAGTTTAAAAATAAATAATCAAAATTAAAAATATTTATTTAATTCAGCTGCTTGGTTAATCCATAACTCACCAGCCTTAGTTTTATCCCAATCAACTATTTTAAATAAAAATGCTGTGGTACAAAAATCATTATAAAATCTTAATAGGAACATTTATTTTATGCACATATGTACTTTATATTTATACATGAAGTATGTGTTTTATGCATTTATTTTATGAACATATGTACTTTATATTTATAAAATAAAAACTCTATTCGTACATAATAAACTAGTGGTATTTTAATAAACAGACACACAACAGTAATGTAAATAAAAATTACAAAATTTTACTTTTCATAAATGAATGTTTATAAATTTCTATGTTTTGAATTGCATATAATACTGTAATTCTACTGTTCAAGTTGACTTGATGATAACATTATTTTTCCTATCTAAATACTGGTTAGAAATTAATTATATAAAGACATGAAAATATTGCCAAAATTATATTAATATATTTTATATCCCAAACCTACCATAGTTACTTAATGTTAATAAATTATATTTTCATAAAGATTTACTTCACTCATATCTTAGGGAGGATACAACAGTTCAAAAATAGCTGAAAATTTATTAATCTAGTGTCAATAATAATCCAAACAGATCTAAAATGTTTCAAGAGGGATTCCTTGCTATATACATTTTTATTTTCTAAAGAATATTTTTTTTTTTTAGAGGTATTATGCATTCAGCTTCTATCCATTAAGATTCAGATTAACAATTTTTACTATTCTTTTTTAATAATAAAAACATAGACACCAGTTTAATATCAGCACCATAGCTAATTTATTATTTTTTCTCATACATTTGAATTCCTTGTATAAGGACATCTAATAATCTCCAAGAACGATAAAACTTGAAGTGTCGAAGATTTTGCTGATTTTATATCAGGTTTTTTTTCAATGCCAACTTCCTTATACAATATAAATTGGCCTAGATATTGGATATCTTTTAACCACAATATTTCCTTTCAAGAAATAAAAAAAGATGACTCTAGGTGTAATTCAAAATTAGAGATCCTCATCAACATGAATAGTAGAAATAAGATATTTATTTTTTATAAGATTTTAAAGATTATTTAAATGGTTAATAAAATTAAAATTTGTAGTAAAAGTTAAATGTTATAAGAATATTTTGTAAGTAATAATAGTGTGCCAAATCTATAGCAATAATATTAGTATGTATCTTTAAATAAAATATCAATTCCTTCTTGACATAACAATACAAAGCAGTTCATTTTGGTTGATGCCTTTTATTTTATGAATAATAATTTAATTGTAGGTAAACATTTTTTTAAACAGTTTTTGTTGAAAACTAGTTTTAAGAACTTATAATTATCAGTTTAATTGAATCATATTTTAAAATAAAAAAATAATGTTTAAACTTTAGGTCAAATTTTATTCATTAGAATAATTTTATGAGCTTAACAGTGTATGAATAATTTTGTAATTTTATACGAAGTTTTCATACAAGCAGTGTGAACCTCATTTTATCTCATTTTTCAAAGATAGTTTATTTGACCAGGCAATATAATTTATATGCACTTATTTCACATCATCAGTTCTAGTTTTAAATTAAATTCAAATTTTAGTTTTTACGAGGTAAAGAAATAATGTTTATAAATTAATAACTTATTCATGAAACAATAAATGTTAAATAATTTTTTACCTTAAAACAATGACTAGCTTTCCAGAAAAATAAACATTTTATTGAAAATTTAGATTTAAAATTGAATTTAAAGATCCAACAATTAAATTACTAGTTAATGACAATTTAACAATAAATTGAGCAGTTTTTGAAGCTCATATAACATCAATAATGTTTCAATTTTTAAAAAATTTTATTAACATATATCAATTAAATATAAAATAATGCTATGAGAAAAAAAAATGTGAATCTGTGTAAAATTATAATTAAATTTCAAAATAGAATATGTACAATTGTTACTTAGAATATAGAAGTGGTAGTTTCAGCTAGCATTGTAATTGGTAGATCATATATCAGAGCCTCAGTAAAATAACAGACATTTTTAAAAAAATAAGACAATTTTACTGTTAAAACTGGGGTGTTCAATTTGAAGTTAGTGTAAGTGTATAATAAGACACAACTTTTGTTTTTCTTAAAATGATGTTTTATTTAACCTTTTCATTTTATATCCGGGAATGACTTTTAGTGACCATTGTGGCAGTTCAAACAGTATTTTCAGACTTAAAAAAAATCTTCAAGGTAAAAAACAATTCAGTGTGGTTCATTGTGAATTTTGAAGTTCAAACATGCTATACATGTAAAAAAAAAAAAAAAAAAAAAAAAAAAAACCATAAATCTAAATAAATAACAAACAATACTTGCATTGATCTCGAACTTAAAGAATAACAGAACTGTTTACATATCATTAAACCTAGAAGCACAACATTTCAAAAGCAATACAAAAAAAAAAGTTCTCTAAATTTTAATGAAAACAATAAAAGGAAATACTGCTTTTTAAAGACGTGGAGTTTCCTGCTGAGCGCCGCTGCCAGTATCAAGGTCTGATACTACCCGGGATATACGAAGTTCTTTGAGATCCGCGATCTGAACGGATATTTTACATCACAAATAGTAAACAAATTATTCTCTCTGATGATTATATTTTTATAAGGGTCCTCGTAGCGTGCGGCAGTTTTATTTTTCGCTGTTTTCAGCCGCCTGTACACTGTTGTCCCTAATGTTAACGACCCCTTACTATAAATATACGCGGCCCACGCGAATCTGTTTTTTGCGAATTAATTTTTCTCTAATTTTTTTCACGCTGTCTGTCGTTCAACTCGAGCTTGATATAGTGCTTCCCATAATTTATTATTATTGGTTGTTATGAGGTCTTCTCTATCGCGTCGCCTTCGGTCACAAACTAGAAAGACCCGTCGCTGCATGAATTGTATTGTTGTGGGCAATCACAGATCGCGGCATAGCGTCAAATAGAACCAAATTTCTTCCCAGTTTAAGTAATCTAAGGTGTTCTTTTAAGGTGTAATGTAATCATTCCACTGCAACTCTACCGTTGATCTGGTGGGTGGTGTTTGGTTACCAAGTGATGTCTAACGTTTTACATTCATTTCGAATAAAGGGATTGTCAAATTCTCGGCCATAGTCTGACACAATTTCGTCGGGTACACCATAAATC